GGTTTAGGAATTTTGTGCAGGTAGCAGAAAGTTTCATTCTTTTGCTGGCCTTAGAGGATTACAAGCTCCTCTAATGGGAAGGAGACTCTTGAATCTTAGCTTTTGTCTCATTTTTGCTCTTTCTGCAGTTACTTACAACACCAGACACATTCCCTTTTTTACTTCAGCAGTTCTTGTTTTAATTTCTTAGGTGTCTCATCAGTCTCCTTCACTACCAAGATCTAGTCAGATTTCTTGGGGTTTCCACTTTCACTTTTTTGACAGATTCTTAATTTGAGTAAATTTTTGTAGGGAGACTAAAGGACTCGTTGCTAACAAAAAGTTACTTCTCTTACATGAGACCTGCACAGAATGGAGAGATTTCCCCCAAGACATCTTCAGGTTTTAAGATGGGCAAAACTTTGATGTTGGGAAAAAAGTTTGAGTTTTTTTAGCTGCAATTCCTGCATTCCCATTCTGCCCACGCAACAAATACAGTGTAAGGCATGGACCTGGCATGGAAGATTACTTCTAACTGCTGATTTGGCCAAGTTATAATCCCTTGGAAACAGAATCTTTAAATAGGAGAGGCTGAGTAAATTTTACTAATACGTAGCCTTATTAGCTCCATGTATAATGCAGTTAATTCCTGGTTAAGAATACTGTGATTTTTTTTTTAAATGAGAAATATATTTTAATGCATTAAAGTTACCTATGACTAATGGAGCCTTTGCTTCATTACAGACTGCTTCATTTCTTTGTACATTAACTTTTTTCTTAAGGTTTGAACTAAATTTAAATAGGTCGCAGGTAAGGTATTTTAAAAAGTGAAGCTGAAATACATGTAACTTAGTTTTTGGAGAGGAAGGGTATAAGACATTAGGGAAATAGGATACCTGGAGTCCGGTAGAAAGGAAATGTTTCTTCTACTCTTGCAACTTGATATTTCTGAACTGTTGGTTTTTTACTAATGTTTTGGCTTTAAGAAGATATTTCTGTGTCAAAAAGAGGGGTTTAGAAATGCATATAGATACTTTTACCTTATTGCTTTGTCAGGAATGGAGTATCATGATAGCAAAGCCACTGGTCTTCACTAGTTTCTTGCATTTCAACAGTATGTGGAATGAGAGACAGTTTTAAGTATACCACTAAATACTGAAACAAGATTAAGTTTCCTAACTTCTCAGTTGATTGTTATGTTTGGAAATGGATATCAAGACTGTGTTTGTCACATTTATCTACTGGTTTGGGTTGTTTTCCTATAAACTATGAAGGGTACAGAACTGGTAAAAATATTTAGTATTAGTCATATTTAGTAATAGGCATTAATTGTACTAGATATGTTAGTAGCTGCTGAATGTTAATGTATAATGAATGTTATCATTCATTTAGGTCAAATACATATTTTCTGACAAAACGGGTACCCTGACATGCAACGTCATGCAATTTAAGAAGTGTACTGTAGCAGGAGTTGCTTATGGGTAGGTATTTTTATATACTTTAATCCGTGTGCCTTTCTTTCCATCTGCCTGTGCATGTTTACCCAGGCATTAACAATACGGTGACAGTAAACTTGCACCTGGCAGTGTCTACAAGTAGAAGTCAGTCAATCTGTTTGTGACTGTGAAACCTTACTTACAAAACAGGTATTATCACTTTTTTTTTTTTTTTTTTTTTTTTCAAAAAGGATTAAAAATGAGGTTCGGATACCAAAAGCTTGCTGCTGTAACACAACTTCAGTATGCATGTTTTTTTTCCATTGCTTGGTCTGTTTAATTTTGTTACTAAAAAGAAGTCTTACCTCGTACTCGCAAAAACTTTTAGCATCATCCATATTTCCTATTTTATGTAGGCCCATGCTTTTGCACTAAATATTATGCAGAATGAACAAGAATTTGAATTACAGTACTGTAGCACACTCCAGTATTGTAGCCACCATCCAAGTGTCTTTTATGAATACTGTTATAGTGGCATAACTCCAAATATTGGTGTTGCTATTAAGAAATCTCTCCAAATAAATGCAGACAAAGCATTTTATTACTTGTTTGTCAGCAGTTGCAGCCATCTCCTTCAACCAAGTTTGTAAAAACCTTCAATTTTTAAGACTGTTTAAGTGAAAAAATATTCACTACAGAATAAATAGAGCAGAAGCACCTACATTGTAAATGCTGGTGTGGCTTACCCGTATGTGAGATGCTGGACCTTGGCTAATCTTGGAGCATTCGGTGACAGACAATTAGGCACCTCTAGAGCTGGGCAGAGACCAGGCAGAGGCTATGAAATTAGTTGTTGGGCTTGTGCTAAAGTGATGATTTGGCTTTTGTGGCTTTATCATTTGGATCTTTGAAAATGCTAATTTTCAAGAGTCTAATCTAGGCTTTCCATTTTGAAAAAAAAAAAAAAAAAATGAGATTCTTAATGCATTAAGTATACTGATGCTTTATTTAATTAACTGTTAAAACACAGTTCTAACCCTGGTATTTCAAATATGTACATAAATTTGTTTGTGTGTATATATATATATGTATGTATAAGGCTCAGTTTCAACCACATGAGCTGATTTTATGACTTCAGAGAAACTACCCTGAGCTAACTGTTTTCTAATTCTTTATAGGCCAGTTTTTTAAGATAAAAAAAATACATTAATGATAATGGCACTTAAAATCAGTATTAGATATTTGTTTCATTATATATCTTAATCTGCAGCTGGTATAGCACAACTGCTAAAATATCCCCTTTATGTAACCTAGGTGTGAATATATTTTTTTAGGAAAAAAATGCCTGGGTTTTTTTTTCTTCCTTACTGTACTTGCCAGCTTCCATCCACAGCATTTTGATAAGACATAGCCTGGTTTTCTGATTAGCATCACTGTTTAGAAAGCAAAGTTTTTCTTTACAGTGAATAGTCATTACAGCATCTCTCATAGCTCCTCAGAGAACAACATCACTGTCTTTTTCTGTATTGATACAAGTAAGAAGTTGGGAACACAGGAAAGGGTAACGGTGACTGTTCCATCTGCCATGCCTCTTCTTTCTACATGTGTATAACTTGTGATGTATTCAAACCTGTGTCATCACAGGGCAGAGTCCTTCGTGTGCTATGGCTAGCTTTGCTCATCAGCATTTTGTGAACTCAGCCAGACAAGCTGCATTAGCATGGCTTCAGATAATGGAAAAAAATGCCTTTTGTTTAGTGAGAAACTGTGACAATGTATATATCCTGAAATACAAAGCAAGATTTTTAAAAAGGGCAAATGCCTTTCACTAGAAAAAGCTTTCAACCGAAAAACATTTATAGTTTGTAAAGCCTCAAGAGAAACATTGTTTTTTTACAGTATTTTATTGTTATCAAGGCACTAGCAAAATACTCAGCTGAGTTTTACCTTTAAAACTTTTTTTTTTAGTAATTTAATTGCATTAACTTCATTTTTTATACATGATCCAGTTTTTTTAGCCTTTGTGATTCTTTCTCCCCTCCCTGTTTCTGTTTTTCCCTTACTTCTTGTGCAGCCATTGCCCTGAGCCTGAGGATTATAGTGTTCCTTCAGATGATTGGTAAGCTCTAAAAGTCGTTTAGTGTGTGGTGTTCGTTGAAAGTCCAGACTTAAACCCAGTGGGCCAGATTTTTAGAAATGGATCTGAGTATGAGATACTTTACTCCAAAGTTATTTTAGTTTCAGATTAGTGCAGACCAACAGTTTTACACAAATATATGCCATCAGAGTTCTGCAGCATTAGATAGTGTACTCTGGAGTAGAGTTGCTGATAGTGTCACTGAGTTGTAATACAGTTATTCTGCTGACAATCTTGTACAATTCAGAATTGCTTATTGGAGAGAAAGTTTGGTAATTTATTAAGGTAGCTGGTATTATGGTAACTTTGATCACGCATTTCTACTGTTACCTAGTAATAGATTAGTAATAATCTCTAAGTTTGGAAAAAAAGTCCATAGTTAAGAATGAAAAATATGTGATTGTTAATATTGTTCTTCCTACATATAGTTTTAGAATGTTAGTACTACGTAATTCTTAACTGAAACTGAGACTAAAGCACCTGAATATACTTGGGGCCAACATTAATCTCTTAACAAGTACCTCAGGAAGAACTAAGTCCTGGCTTTCTTTCTGCTGCCATCTGCACGGTGCCTTGTACTACTTCATCATACTGTCTTAAACTAAGTATTTGCACTACTATTTAAAATAAACTTTGATAGATTGGCAGGAAAAAAGTCTTTTACAGTCTTTATCACTGTTGTGTTTGTTATCACAGCAAGGCATATCACACAAAACAATAATGTCTTGTCTTACATTTTAAAAGTTTGAGGGGAAAAAACTTGCTTTGCTAGATTAGAACTAATAATTCTTTGTTTAGATTTAAAAAAAAAAAAAGAAATACCTACCACTTACACATAAGTGGCACACATGCCCACTCCAAAATCTTACCTGACCTGAATATCCTCATTTGATTTAGCAGTAAGATGTTTCTTACAGAGATGTACAAGTGTGCTTAACTGTGCACAAGTGGTTTCACTGAATTAATGTAATGCGCACATGAAATTAAGCATGCTTGCTTGTAAGATATTTATGAAATAAGACTGGTTTTGACTAATACACAGCTAAATCTTTTTAAGCACATCTGAAATTGATAAATTGATGCCTGAACAGTAGTTGTAAAAGGGAGGTACTTTTTTTTTTAAAGCAATGAATGTCTTGTAAATACTTAAAAATAGGATTTAAAAAAAATTTTTTAAGTATGTAAATCTATTGTAATTAATAGAATCTGTTTATGACAATAACATTTCTAGTCCTAAAATGGCTGATGTACTGGATTCCACATCTTCTGAATCTTTATTTTCTTTTTATTAGAAAGAATTTTTTTCCAGTTTGACACAACATATACCTGCAAATATTTTACATTTTTTTTTTAGCACTGAGAATCTGGGAAATACCTTGCAATTTTTCTGTCAGAAAGCTTTAAGGAAACAAAGCTTAAAGTGTAGACTCTACATAAGTGTAACGTACCTGAATTTGTTAACATTTGTCACTTCAAGATCTGTTTGCTGTGCATTTAAAAAAAAAAAAAATCTTGGTGAATGAGGATGCTTCAAATTTCTCAAATTTAATTATAAAATTTTAGAATAAGTAGTTATTGAGTGATTATATAGAGGAGGTACTGCAACTCCATATTCTTTCATGGTAGTGCAGGACTAAAACAGCTTGCTTTTGGTTTCCATAAAGGATCTTTAGAGTGCCTTTGATGCATATGTCTTGTCTTTCAACTTAAATCACTGAATGTGTTCACTCTTAGAAGAGTATGTGAGCCAAGGCAAGATCCAGTGTAAATGAAAAAAGAATACTTGCGTCCAGTGGGGTTCACTTTGCAGCACTGCTTTCTTCCACCTAGATTGAAATTGAGCTACATTGTCATAATACTCAATAGTCAGCTGCAATAACAAAACTTCCTAAAAGTATCTACTTGTTTGACCTCCCAGCTTCAGCCAGATTTGTGCAATTTGAGAGATGTTGGTGTATGACTTTTTCTACAGAACCATGTTCACCTTGCATGTGTTCAGTCCCTTTTTTCTTCAGCGCTGTTGCTGTTTATTCTTCATCTGCCAGTTTACTAGGTTCCTTTTTGGTTGTGAGTAGTGGAAAACAAACCTGCTACATGCAGACTTCCCTGATATCTAAACTCAGTTTGCTTTCCCCTTTCAAAAACTGGAATTTCTGTTCTGTAAACAGTTGTAAACCTATTCCAAAACTACTAAATTTTCAAAGTGTGATCTCCTTGGGCATATCTTGTTCTGAGTCTTTGTCAGCAATCTCATTATAGAGATCAGAAGACAAAAAGCCACAGTCTTAAACTGTAGATTTATTTTTACTTCATACTATATTAACTGAAGTCAGCAGAGACACTTCCCTGGATTTAGGTGTATTTATACAAATCAAGGTTTCTTAATCTTAGATAAGCTTTGGATATGTGAAACACCACCTTTTTACTGCATTTTCTCACAGTATATGATTGCACCATTTACTGTGACAGCTACAAACCAAAATTTCTGTATGACTTTAGCACAGTAGTATAGGTGATTTGTATATGATTGTTAAGAATATGTTAACAGTGATCTCTTTTCTACTTAATTATTTCTAGGCAGGGCTCACAAAATGGAGAAGAAAAAACATTCAGTGACACATCCTTACTGGAGAATCTTCAAAGCAATCATGTAAGTTACATAGAAACGGTTACCATTGCTTTGTGAAATCAAACTGTTGCTTTCAGTAGGTCAAAAGACCTGAAAGAAAATAAACTATTAATTTACACAAAAACAGCATGCTGTCATGAATACTTTTGTAATTGTTTGTTGCTGATACTTGCTAATTACATCCACACCTTTTTATTTATGGTATGATTCAAATATCTGAAATACAATAGTCTTGTGTTCTTCATTCTGTGGCTGTTTTAGTATCAGTTATGCTATTCATACCCATCAAACTTTGCAGGATCAGTCAAGTTAACTAATTGTCCTGACATGACTTGCTGTTTGGACTCTCCCTTTATTCGAATAAAGTCTATTTTACAGGACTCCTCTGTCTCCTATTGGAATATCGACCTCTGGCAACGGCATTTCCCGCACATGTACCTAGGCTTAAATAGGAGTCAGGAATTAACCATATAGGTCAGGAGTTAACACGTATAACAATATGTGTCCAGCAGAACAAGGAAGGTCCTCCTCCCTCTCTACTCTGCCCTGATGAGACCTCACCTGGAGTATTGTGCCCAGTTCTGGGCTCCCCATTTCAAGAGGGACAGAGATCTACTGGAGAGAGTCCAGCGCAGGGCTACGAGGATGATTGGGGCACTGGAACCTCTGCTGTATGAGGAGAGGCTGAGAGACCTGGGGCCTTTTAGTCTGGAGAAGAGAAGACTTAGGGGGGATCTAATTAATATGTATAAATATATGAGGGATGGGTGTCAAGAAGAAAGGGGCAACCCGTTTTCAGTTGTACCCTGCAACAGGACAAGGGGCAATGGATACAAGCTGGAGCACAGGAAGTTCCACTTCAACATGGGGAAGAACTTCTTTACTGTAAGGGTCACAGAGCACTGAAACAGGCTCCCCAGAGAGGTTGTGGAGTCTCCTTCCCTGGAGAAGGGAAGACCTGTCTGCATGCATTCCTGTGTGACCTGCCCTAGACTAGATGGTCCTGTTCTGGCATGGGGGGGTTGGACTCGATGACCTCTGGAGGTCCCTTCCAACCCCTAACATTCTGTGATATACTTTGGGTTTGTGTAAATGCTTCCATGAGGTTAGATCATCAGTTCAGATGTTGAAATGAAACGGGCATTCTAGAGGCTAGTATTTCCCCCGAAGAGACAATACATTTCACAGAGGGTTAATAGCTTAGTTTATGATTTGGCTAAGAAGCAGTACCATCATTACCACTTTCTTTCTATTTGTTGTTTGCACAAGAAATGTGTTTTGCCTAGTCATAACCAAGAACACCTACCTTAAACAGTGTAACTCTTTGTTCTCTTTAAAAGAGTGTAAATAAATTACTCTTTTCTTTCCTTAAATTTTGTCTTCCCAGGAGGATAATTACAGGGTAACTAGCAGACAGTGACACATTTTGTTCTTATGAATGGGGCAAACTTAAATGCAAAACACCTGAGTGCAACTCTTGAGCATATCTAAAGGAAAGGGGGATCCCCTACTTACTTGCACAGGCCATTTTCAGTGCTAGTAACACAGACTGCTTGGAGGAGTCAACATCCTGTTACTGATGCTGTCTAGGGAATCCTTGGTGTGCAGGTGGTTGAATCTCGGAAGTTTTCTGGTAGATACATAGTATTAAGTATGTGTATTATGAGCATACAAGCTGTAAAATGCATTTGTTATACACCTTGAAGTTAAAATTTCAGGTATACATTCAAAGACTGGATACACATCGGTATGTTAAGTGCGTTCTGAATTGCTTTGGAAAAGAATCTGTAATTCAGCCTCTGAATGCATCTTATTGGATCTAGGGGCCCTCAGTAGAAGAGGACTGAAACCTGCTCCAATTATTGTTTCTGCACTATGGAATTAAGTTCCATTTTCAGAGATAGAGTAATTGTCATGTTATCTTCCTTGTTCGTGTTCTGAGTCTGGTAATAATCTGGAACGCTACAAACATATTACAAAGACACCCCTCAGATGAGTTGTTATCTGCTTTGAGCTTGTTAAAGGAGAATGCTGGGGTTTCTTTTGAACAACCATTCAGAAGTGAGTTCATTAATTTTGCAAATTTCAGCTACACTAAAAAGATTCTTAGCTGTATTCGTCAGAACCATTTTCCTTATATACGGTCTTTTCCTCTCTTTTGGCTAAATCGTCAAAATTGTTTCAGCTTTGTGTGCTCTGAAGTGCCTGAGACGTTCATTTAAATGTCATCCTTTAAAAGCTGTCTGCCTGACCTTGCTGCATTTTCCACATGATTTTGGGGTTCAGTTGCTACGTCGTCTTAAAGATTCTTAAAAAGTGTTGTCAAATAAAGTATTAGACTAAAGTAATGAAAAGAGGAAAAAAAAGTAGTAAAAAACTAGTAAAAAAAGACAACATTCAAAGAGACTTCAGTGAATAAAGTAAAAATCTTTGAATACAACATTCAGACTTGCCTTCCTTATAAAATTCTTATTTGAATTATTCTGTGTTTCTGGTTATCTCCTTTTGCTTGTTACAATAGCAAATGACACAAAATTGTATCTAGGTAGCTGGTATTGAAGTACAGCAGCAAGAAGTTACTGTGCATGCTGAAATCAGTGTGCAGATAGTGCCTGTTGTGTTTAGTTACTGATAGTTTTTTAAAGAAGAGAGGAAAAAATATTTTGTTTTTTTTTCTTTACTATTATTTGTCCATCTCTATTACTATATTTCAGTTAGTTGTTTAAATGATTATTCACACTTTTTTTTTTTAGCCAACTGCACCTATAATATGTGAGTTTTTGACAATGATGGCAGTGTGTCATACAGCAGTTCCAGAAAGAGAAGGTGATAAAATTATATATCAAGCAGCATCTCCAGGTGAGATTCAAATAATTGAGTGAATATCCTATCAACTCAATAGCGAAATTTCATTCTAAGTTTATTGTTTTCAGAATTAAAAAAAGAAAACGTTCCTGAAAAAAAAATATTGGTGTCAGCTACAATCAGTTTTGTCAAAAAAGTATTTAGACTTTCTAATTTGCTTTAGAAAAATACATATGGATTTCCTGTGAGTTATCTGAAGGCAAAGGGTGATTTGACCATACAGCACTACTAAGATGATGGCAGTTTGCTATGGAAGTCTGAAGGAACTGCTCAAATGCAACTAGTGATCAAAAGGAGACAAAGTGATGTCCTTGCTTGTAAACCGATTCTTTGTAATTAAAAACTAAAAAGAAAAGTTTTTAATAGGGTAGAGGTTTTGATAAGTTCTACTAGAGAGTGAGAAACGATTATAGTGCAAAAGGTCTGGTTCAAGCCCACTGCGGTTCATAGACAATTTTTGACTTCAGGAAATTATAAAATGAGGCAAAATGATTAAAATATACTCAGCTCTGCTGAGCTAATGTGTTTTAACAAGTTCTGATGGAAGAAATGACAGGAAATGCAGTCTGCAGCCTTCATCTCCCCTGTCTGCCTCAGCTCCTAGTTGGCTATTTTTCTAAGTTCTGCCTTTGAACAACTTGAAGGCAAGAGCAGAAATAGGGCTGTAAATAAAGCTAGCTGGGCTGTGGCAGTATTTTGTTAGGCATTGCAATCAAATTCCATTCAGACATCCTGAGCCATTTGGAGAGAACTGGTGCCTATGGGAGACTGGATTTCTGCTTAAAATGTTTCTTGGTAGGCATTGAAGTTACCTGTTATTTATCGGAATAACTTAACACTCCTCTCTTCTAAAAGAGATCTTACACAAACAGAAATGGACCTTGTCCAGTCCCTTGCTGAGGAAGGTGCCTGCCTAGGTGCTTTGAAGAGGATGTTCTCATTACTGAACTGAGAGGCCTCTTCCTTCTGGGGGCTTATTTCCTCTGAAGTGTAAATAATTTCATCAGTTCTAACAGGAGAAACAAAAAACTGTTTGCAGCACTACATCTAATTTTAAAAATCTATAAAGAAAGACAGAAGTCAAAAGTAGAAAAACTTGAACCGTGTCCATTAAATCATGGGGTAAATAGTTTTCTGGTACATCTGCAGAATAACTAATTGAATTGTTGCAGATGAAGGAGCGTTGGTCAGAGCAGCCAGACATCTTCGTTTTGTATTCACTGGAAGGACACCTGACTCAGTAATCATAGAGTCTGTAAGTACGTGAGGAAGTCATTATAATTTGCTATATTTATTCTTGCTGCATTAAATGATTTCAGAATAACTGCATCATGGTACATACAGATCTATTGAGATACTGGTTGGTTGGGTTTACTAGAGGTTTTTTGTATTTATTCTCACTTTTTTTTTTTAATCCTTCAGTTGGGAGAGGAAGAGAGATATGAACTGCTAAATGTCCTGGAATTTACAAGGTAAATAACCTGTTCCCCACATAGTGTCTTCTTGTGAAGATATTTTATGGATCAAAATATTTGCATCTTTTATATTTGTACAGACAGTGTATGTAGGTTTTCTGGCTTTTATCTCTGTAATATGTGATCATATTATAGGCAAAGCAGTGTACACAATTAAGGTCATGCTTCTGGTTTTATTGTAGAACATGTTCAGACATGAATGTCTTTTCCTGTTATCTCCTTTTTGGCTTAACATTTTTCACTTTTGCTTTTGTGCAAAGATTGAAACAAACCTTTATCTTGAGACTCCAAAACAATTACATGAAAAGACAGTGTAGGAAAGTACTTGAACTTTTAAATGTATTTCTGAAAGCTCTGATACCGTGTGGTTTATTAAAAATCTGATATTTGCGGGCAGAGGGGAAGATTCAATTAAGTGCTATACAAAATTTAGGTTTGCCTTGACTGATAGAATGAAATTTTGCATTTGACCATAAATATATTTGCATAATTATGGCTTGTTTAAATACTTCAGACTGAAAACCATTTTTTTTCTGAGCAGCATTACTAGAGCATTGGCCAATTAGTGTTTGTGGAAACTGAATTTAACACATACTTCACTTTCAGTAAAAATTTTCTGTCAAAGCTGTTGGTACCCATAAGAAATCTGGATGCAGTTTCACTTATGTAAATTTGTTTAAATTGTATCCATATATGCCGTTTCTGTTCTCAGTGTTCATGTAGGCCCATTGTTTACTTTGGAACAGGATAAGGAAGGGATTTGTATGTAGAGGAAGCTCCTTTTTTCATTGAGTGATTACTTGTAATTGTGCCTGCAGAAAGTGATCCTTGTTTTCCTTCCTGTCCTATTATGTTTCCCTTGAGAAAAGAAGCAAAAAGAAAAAAATAAAAATCCAAGGCAACACCAGAGAGATAGGCTGAAGATTTATATTTAGGTTGGATGAAATGAGAAAAGTAGTTGCCTGTAATTATAATAATAGCAATAATAGTGTAAAACATAAAGAAAAATCACCACAGTGAGAAAAAATAATGTGACAGAAAATAATTTTTATAGTTATGAATGTCTTTTAATGACTACTTGCAGTTAATGTTGGTTTGATATATTATAGAGGACATAACTGAAATTTTCAGATATATGAATAGTTCCATTCTTCTGTAAGCAGTTTCCTTTCTGTTCTGGAAAGTTAGCAGGTATGTAGCATGAAGGGTGTTGTTAGAGGACTGTGAGACTTTATACTGCGTTCATGGAGTAGCAGTGAAGGATTCCTACATTGTTTCTGATTTTGATCTTTGTCTTGATTTCATAGATTGTTTTGAACTTCTCTCAGTCTAAAATTGTTATTTGAACAGTAGCACTTTATGGAGAAAGGAGAATTGCTTTTAAATCTTAACCTTTAGAGGATTAAGTTTTGTAGTGGATACCAGTCACCCAACTTTATTAAACATCCAGTTTTTACAGCTGGTTTTGTTCTTCTTCTGCAATGTTTAGCATTGCTTGGAACTGACTTGTTGGAAGCACTAGAGGTCACTCTTGTTCCACAGCAAGAGAAGTTTTGACACCAAAACATCACACCATCTGTATTGGTAGGAGCATATACCTTCACAGAAGTAATCTGTAGCAATTAAACTATTGAGCCAAGTGTTTCCAGGTGTTCCAGGTTTTTCCCAGAAAAAAAAACACAATCTGATTCCTTGCCACCTTCCAGTGCAAGCCAGGTAAAAAGACTCTTCTGCAAGTAGAGTGCAATATAGTCAACACTCGTTCGGGTAGTCTTTCAGAGAAGTATGTCACAGAAATAAAATTTGTAGGAGTGCTCGGTAGAGTTGTCTTGTGTTATTCTCTTTTTACAGTGATCACAGCTGTGCCTATGAGAAGTACTAAACTTATTATACAACATGCTAATTGTACTTTTTAGCAGGGAAGTAGCTCTCTGTCTAACTGGCAGGTGAGCATATAGAAAGCAACTGGTAATCCTTAACCAGCTGACAGTTATTCCTAAAATGTAGTGATAATCTCTGTGCAGCAAATTGTGTCTTGATAACTTGTGCTGAGTTTAGGTTGCTTCTAGTAGATACCCTGCTAAGATGTCATAACTGCTTTGGTAGCTTAAGCTCAAGGAAGTGTTGTTCACTCTGCTGTTCAGGATTCCCTCTACTGTCAGGGAAGGAATTGTGCAGTCTTGTGTTCGTTCTTGTATTCTGTCTCCTGGAATTGTAACAAATAGAAAAACTGCAGTTGTCTCTTAGGAGCCAAAACTAACTCCTAGGGTATGTATCTGCAGGGCAGGAAGAAGCAAGGCACTGTGTCAGTTAAAGATCTAGAAGCATAGAATGTCTTATGCTTATTGTCATCCCTGTGCTGACTAGATGCAGTGTCTTTTTACCTGGGCCAGCTGCAAAGGTGAACATGATTTTGAGCGTGTGATTCCTTCTTTCAGTAAGCATAAGCGATGTCCACTATCAGTGCACAAAGTGCACATCAGTCCTTGCATCAACATGTCATTACTATCAGTGCTACTGAATGAGGTTTTTGCTTGTAGCTGCTTGTTTCTTTAGAGGAACGATTTGAATTTCACTGATAACTATTGAGAACTGATGTAGTAATGATAATAGAATCATAGAATCGTTCTGATTGGAAGAGACCTTCAAGATCATCAGCACCAGTCATGAACCCAGCACTGCCAAGCCATAAAACCATATCCCTAAGCACCACATCTGCATATCTTCTGAATAGTTCCAGGACTGGTGACTCCACCACTTCCCTGGGCAGCCTGTTCCAGTGCTTTACAACCCTTTCTGTGAATAAATTTTTCATAATATCTAACCTAAACTTCCCGGGATCCAACTTGAGACAATTCTCTCTTGTCCTATCCCTTGCTACATGGGAGAAGAGACCAACACCCACCTTGCTACAGCCTCCTTTCAGGTAGTTGTAGAGAGTGATAGGATCTCCCTTCAGCCTCCTTCAGGCTAAATAGCCGCAGTTCCCTCAGCCAGACATCTTTCAGCAGATGTCTTCTGTTCAGTATTTTGCCCCTTATAACTAGGTCACCTTTATGGCTGTTTGCATCATGTCTGTGGTGAAAAAAACAAAACCAAAAAAATGGTCTCACGCTGACAGTTATATCTAGTAGTGCAATATTGTGGTTTTCTGTATTTAATAAGGAAAACAAAATAAAACTGTCACTGCAATGAAAAGGCTCGTAAAAAGTTAGAAGTCTTTGACAGTAAGTCCTCATTAGTTTTATTGCAGTTTTACTAAGAAAATGTATGTCAGTCAAGATTGAGTATCTGTCTTCATAGCTAAAATTTCTGATGCTACAGGAAAAATTGGTTAGTAGATTGATCAGCCGCTGTATGCAGAAGTTCAGGATTGCAATCTTCTAGTATTGCAAGACAAGTACAAATCTGCTGAGTTTCTACCTGTCAGGGGCCTATATATCAAATTACTGTTTATACAAACCCTAAATGACTATATTGCAGGAAGATTCAGTTGAGGAACTGTGGAGGAGAGTGTAATGCATTTAAATAGTAGTAGACTAGATAACCTTTCCAGGAATCAAAGTGGATCTGAGACTTGCTTTTATTTTAGGCAACTTAACTGCAGTTCAAGTGATTTGAATTTCTCCACTGTTGTCTAAGCATATCTCCAACTAAGCACTGTATAAGGGTTTTTGGAATTCTGCTTATCTGAGATTTTTTTGAGGTAGAGATGAAACGAAGAAAGAGTTGCAGTAGTTAATGCCTTTTTATGCTTTCTTGCATAATATTCACAGTAAAAATGTAATTTAATATTGCTGTTCAGATGTCTGTACTTGAAATGAAGTGCATGCACAGGTGGAATAAGAAAATATCTTCTTGAAGTTATTTTTCAGTTACTTCACCATTAATTATAAAATTCTTTCCTCCACCTCTGTCCATACATTCCAGTTACAGGATGTTTTCCATGGCAGTCTGAACTTCAGGAACCATTCATACAATAATGCTATTTGATGATGTGTAGAGGGGATACATTACATCTGGAGCTGAAATAGTAAAAGGATCATTTGCTTCCATCTATTTTGTGTATTTTATTGAAGACCTTGAAGGAAAAACACAAAGCAGCGAGTGGCAGTCTTCTACCTCCAGTTTCTACCTCAGTCTTCTACCTCAGTCATGAGGACAAAAAGAAAAATACTTGGGTCTTATTAATGACTGAAAGCCAGAGAATAGTTAAAATGACGCGAGCTCCTTTCTAATTCTTAGCATGCTTAAAAATTCGTGTCACGAGTGGAAGTCTGAGATGTCAGCAATAGGATTGCAGCAAAATACAGTGTATGAGAGACTGGCTAGGAAGAAAAAAGAAGCTGAAATGGTCCATGATGTTCTACATCTTTATGATATTGGTCACAGTGCTTTGTACTTTAAGTTGTTTTGTGATCAGTATACAGATGAAGGCGAAGATTCTCAGATTTGTTTTTGTAAGGAAAAATGCCTACAGAAGTATGCACAGAAAAGCAGTATCCACTCTAATTATTAGACAGTACAACTGTTTTTCCATTCCAGTCATCTGAGAACATAATTCAAAATAGGTAGCCCTTCTTTTCCTTTGTCTTACGTAAGATATATATGTTGATATTCTTGGGTAAAATTTTGGTAAATGTTTATATTTACAGATCACCTTATGAGACATTTATTTCTCTTTCAGCACTAGGAAGAGAATGTCAGTGATAGTTCGCACACCATCAGGAAAGTTAAGACTCTACTGCAAAGGAGCTGTGAGTTTTTTCTGTTTTCACTGTATCAAAGAATGTGTGCTACCAATACAAGTACAAAGCAAGAGGTTGTTATAACTGCGGTCAAAGCATTGAAGATGTGGGGGAAGGAATGTTGATACATTTTTCAATGTACGGCATTTTACTACGTAGCTCTTTAATGTGATGAACTAGTTAATGTCTTCTTTTGCTAACTGCCTGTGAAGGGATGACAGACCTGTTCATCCTGTTCTTTGTAGTGGACTAATACCCTTATGCTTCCTGTTACTTGCTTCCATCTGTACTCCAAGAAAATGGATGCATGTATGGTTTAATCTATTAGTTACTTGCTGGAGTAGTTGAGCATGAATCAGTAGGTAGAAACAGTAGTCTAGCATAAGTGACAAGATGGAAATTTTAACCATGTTATGCTAGAAGTAAATTTTCCTGAAAACAGGATCTGTGGGAAGGTATTTTAATCATAACATATCTAGGAGTGGCAGAGTTGCTCATTAATTCTTGTTCTGTATCTTAAGTCAAGATTGAGGGGGAAGAGTCTGCAAATCCAGTTTCTGAATGGTTTAAAAAAATGAAGTTGGTTGAATATAAATGTCTATTCTGTATCTTCTCAAGTGGAGAGAAGAAGCTGTTGTTAATATTCTGTATATCAAGCTGGATACAAAAACCTGAGAATGGCAGTTATGAAACGCTATATTTACCTTGTAGGTTTAATATTTAAGAGGAATATAGCCTTTTAGGAGATCAAAAAAAATTCACATGGCAAGCCAAAGGAAGATGCAGGACTCTTCAAAATGAAGGGAAATAACAGCAAAAAGTATAGAAGAGAAAAACTGCATAACAGCAGAATTTGTAAATTTAGAGAATCTGAGGATTTGCAATATCCTTTTTTCTTTCATCTGAAGTAAAATTACTTCTATTAGGTTTTCATGCTGAAACAAATTAATACAGTGCTGCATATTTTTCTGTCATCTTCCTACAGGATTTGTATTGTCTACACAAAACCCCCTCATTTTTCTATTAAATTATTCTGAGTTAATTTTATTTGTTTTGTAGGATACTGTAATTTATGACCGCCTTGCTGAAAGTTCAAAATACAAAGAAATCACCTTAAAACATCTAGAGCAGTTTGCTACAGAAGGTGGGTGATATTATTCAATATAAAAATGTGAAATTAAGTTACTGCTCAACTTCTCTGCTTTGCTGTTTCATGTTGCTGTCATGTTTTGTTCACATTGTTTGGAAGTTATATTTTAGTAATGCCTCCTAAAAAAGTTCTTCCTCTTCCTGAGAAGTTCCAGTCATAAGTTCATGCTTAAGAAACAAAAAATACACAGAAAAACCACACAATACACAGTGGAGTCTTGTAAACAAAATTTATTTTTCCAGAGAGCAAACACATTGCACATTGCTGGTTTCTGTGAAGATACATTTCTGATGATCGCTTCCACATCCCCCACACAACAAATGTTGTAAGGATTCTTCCTCACAGGAGGAAGCAGCTGAAGTAAGGATGGTTGGAAATGATAAGCGTAGTACTTTTTAGGTAGGTTTTTACTGTATTATTTCTGTCACCAGTCACAATAAGGGGAATTGTCAGCACTAGATTTCTAGATGGTGTCTTCTGGTATCTCTGCTGTTTTAACAATCACTCTTACACAGTTGCTGAAGGTGGGGAACCATCAGCAGAAGGAATAATAAGAAAAATGTAAAAGACTGTGAAATTAAGACAATTGATAGAAACAGCCAGTTATTTCTTAACAGTGGATTCCACAGTATAGGTGTGAGCAGGAAAGCAGACTGTAGAAAGCTTTCTTCTTTCATGCAAGGTCTAGCTTAGTTCCTAGATCTTCCATGCCATGCCCCCTTTCTGGTATTAGTAAAGGATTCTAGATTTTTACTGTGAAGTACTGTAGTGTTTTAATTTGTCACTGAGTTGGGAGAGAGTAGTTGGAAGCAGAATTACAATAGTTATGATAAACTGAATGGCAATTTATTTACCTCTTTGTTCTTCTAATACGCTGTTACTAGAAGTTAAAATTACTTTTAACGTATCTCAAGAAATAAGCTTATACTGGAAAGCAAACTTTATTACTTTCCTTTTAAAGTACAATCTTTACATTTTGATAACTGATACCTAACTGAATCTTCTTGTATCAGGAAAGGTCCTTTTTCTCTCTGTGATACCTATGACGTCTCTGGGGTTTTTTTAATTTATAACAGAATTTTTGTTAGTGTCATTCTCAGCACCCTCAGTCTCTTGATTTTCTGCACATGATAGCAGAAGCAAGCCACAAATCTGTTTATTTTGGTAATTTTCCATATCAGGAGCTCTGCAGGAAACATTTGGTTAGCCTTAAATAATCTTAAGAGTATCAAAGTTATAATAAATTATACAATAAATTTGAAAGCAGAACTGAAAACAAACAAGTTGGACTAATAGTACAACATGAAGCCTCAGATACATCCTTTGAGCTCACGAATCTAGTTCTGTGAGCTGATTGGCCAGTTTGGGGTTTTATAAAAGCCTAACTGGGGTCAGTAAAGGAAAAGTTAGTTAAATGTGAAGTTATTTAGGGTCATAAGGCTATATATTTGGTTACAGAAAAGGTAAAAATAGATCAGTAACTGCTATCCTGTGTGAACTGTTATGAAAACTTCAATCTAATTCTTAATTACTGTTCTCATTAAATCAATGGTACACCCGATACCATTTTTTCCTTTGCAGTCAGGTTGGACTGAAGGAGTCAACATAAAATGAAAAATTCCACTCGTTTTTAAAACCACTGTACATACCTATTAGTGTTAAGATGTTTATTCAAGTACTTTCTGTACCCTTGTTTTTAACAGTTGAAAGATTTACTGTTGAAAAGAGTGAATTGCTAACCTTCCAAAAGCATAAAATTCAATATTAAAAAAAAAAAAAAATTTAAGTACGTCTCTGGAATAGATTAAAGAAATCAGTATTTATTTTTGCATCAGATTTAAATTGCAGCCGATGACGCTGCAGTTTCTCATGTGTATCCTTTCATGTGAGAGTACAGTATGTCCTTGGCATTTGCTGCATGCTCTTGGTGTGTTGTTCAAAGATGAAGTGGTTAGCATGGCTGGCATTTATATTTAAGCATTTATTAAGCTTGAGTGCTAATGCCTACTTGGATAAACAGAAGAAGTGTATAATTTTCCTGTGTTATTGTTCCAGTCTCTTAAGAAGCAGACTTAGTGATATTTTATTTTCCACTTTTCATTTGGAAGAATGTTTTAAATCAGAGTAAAAAGGATCTTTTTTTAAAATTAAAAATAGGAAAAAAAATAGTCTGATTGAAAAAGCAAATGCCTTGAAAAACTTGTTTGCTGATATTCTGCACAAACTGATTTCTTCTTTCATTTTGTCACATGCATAAAATATTTTGAAAGTATTGTGGGAATAGTATTGTTATTAGTCAGTCATAAATTCCTTTCCTCCCTTTCACCTCATATTCATTGCTTTGGACCTTGGTAGCTTATCCTTACTATACAGAGAAAAAAAAATCTGGTTATTTTTCAGCCTTAAGTTTATTCTTTAGGTCTAGACAGTGAGATGCTGTGTTCTTAATGGGGTTCAGTAGTCAAGATACTGGAGTTACATATGTTTTTCATTCTGAAGATGTAAGATGGCAATTTAATATCTAAGACATGTATGAATTATTTCATGCCCAGCCTCTTGATCATTTCAGAATTGTAGCTGGTGCTCAGCTGTAGACAGTAGAAACCTGTGAACAGATAAAGATTGCATTTAGCCATCCCTGGGTATGATGCTGTTCGTCTCGTAGACTGGGCAAATGATCAAAGGCAATAACTACATTAGTCCTGTCTATCCCCCTCTTAAATCTACCTGCCTGCAAATTCTGGCTTCATAAGACTTTTGGCTAAAGCAATGCTCTTCTCAGTATAAAAAGGGTTATGCCAATTTCATGCTTTGGAAGGCTAAGGATCTCATAATGTGTGAAAATGAACTGTTAGGATGTTCACAGCTGGCTATTTAAATTGAATGTAAATACGTGTTGTCAAAAAAATAGATGTTTCTTTTAATCTTACAATCTCAGATTCTCACTATAGTGCTTAATTCAGCTTTCCACTGAAGGAAAAAAATTTCTTTTAAGTATAACCAATTCAAAGATTGTTAAGTAAAATCTCCAGATGATGCCTGTACACAAAGATTTTATTTTAACAATTTGATGTGAAAATTAAATCTGAGCTGATTCGAAGCTGTCTTCTAGGTGGTAAATTTCAAGCTTCAGCTAAGAATTTCCCGAGGATATTGAGGAGAGGTGGAGAAGAGGGTAGCTGTAACATGCTGTTATTCTTAAATGTTGCTATGGTGGAAAACAAAGTTTATAAATGTTTTGTTCAGAAATATAATTCAATCTTACAGTCATAATGTTTCTAAAAATCTAATGTGTATACCTGTTTAGCAGTTGCAATCTGGGATTGCTTCATGTTTTGTTTACAGTTTAATATAAATAAATCTTGTGTAAGATTTCATTATTATTTTTCCCTTAAGGTGCATCACCTGTATTACATTCAGCTAATGTAATAAAGACTTACTCTGTTGAATAAATTTCTATTTATATCATGGGTTTTTTATATTTTATATATATTTTTTTAAAAGTTTTTTAAGGCATGCAGCAGTAAGTTGAAAATCAAGCATAAGCCTCCATAAAATACAGAATAAATTCAACTTGAAGTAGTTACTCATGGCAGGCATATCAAGGAAGGGAGTAAAAAATACTGAATCATAGTATCTGCTTTCTCTTTAGGCCTAAGAACTCTGTGTTTTGCTGTGGCTGAGATTTCAGAAAGCGATTATGAAGAGTGGTTAAATGTCTATCACCGTGCTTCTACGGCTATACAAAACAGAGCACTCAAACTTGAGGAGAGCTATGAACTAATTGAAAAAGTATGTGTCGTTTTCTGGGTTTTTTTTGGGGGGGGAGGGTAAGGAGAGTGATAATGGTTTTGTTATGGTTTTTTAATTAATGTCTGCCCTTTTTGTATCATGAAATCTGAATCATTAACAAGAAATAATGCTTAGACAAAAGAAAAGCTAGCAATATACTGACAGCTGTGTCATGTACTCCTTGCAGTGTAGATAAGCAAAATGAAGGAAAGATTAATTTGACAAAGTTTTTGCAGCAAGGGGCTACCTTGTCAGAAAGTGTTGATTTTTCATTTGAAATAGTGGCAAGGTTTTTTGCAGTGTTGCTCTGTTGTGTAAAAAAGTTTAATAATAGGCAAACAACATCTGCTCATTGTGTAATGATCTTAGAACCATAGAGTATATAAGGTTGGAAGGGACTTCTGGAGGCCATCTAGACACAAATCAAAGGAGGGCTGATTTTGCTTGCCAAGCACTTTCATGAAATTTTGACTATCTGTAAGGAGGTAGTTTTCCTAGCTGCAGTAAGCAGGGGTTTATTTAGTGCTCAGATATTCTTTTTCTCATTTTCCTGAATTGAAATTTCTACTGCTGCAGAATGTGACTATTGCCTCTTGCCCTTTCACCATTCATCTCTTGGAGGAAGATGGCTACTCTGCAAGCCCTCTGTTAGCAGAAGGCAGCTGTGGAATCCCTCCCTTACACTTATTTTTTTCCCCTTGTTAAACTCACCAGCTTCCTGAGGCACTATTAATACAGTGTGCTCCAAGCCCCAAGCTGGTTTTGTTCCCCCTCTGCTGGACTTGCTCTATCTTGTCAACGTCTGATACAGAAGGCCCAGAAAGGGAGGTAATACCCAGACACAGCCTCACAAAGGGCAGAGACATAATCACTTCCCTGGAATTTCTGGCAATACTGCTACTGCATGTGGTTGGACTTCACTGCCTCAACAGAAAAAGGCTCTGATGACTCTTCAATGTGTAAGCAAAAGGAGCTCATGAGGCTGGTATTGCTTCCAGTTTTGATACCTGGCTTTTGAGGGGGGCTCGTTTTTTTTTTTTTCCTTGGAAAGGATAAGAGAGATTACATTGATGTAACTACTTAAAAGTTCAGAGCCTCAAAAAGAGTGAGGGTGTATAGCTTCGGTCACTTGTGGGACTTCCAGTTTGCATAGGTGAGCAGTTGATCCAGGCATGGACAAGACAGTCTTAAAACCATACAACTTTGGTTTTGTATTAGCTGCACAAACACTTTCTCAGCATGTAGTATGCAAACCATGCAGCAGCCAGGATTGCACACTGTTAGGTTTATGATCGTGTCATTAACAGGATTTTAGCTAGTTTTAAAAGTATAGAAATAGGCAGTATAAAAATAGCTGTAATCACAAAAATTTGATAGGTTTGCTGCATGGGAGGTAAAAACTAGGCATGATCAATTATAGCTTTAAGATTAAGATTAATTACAGGTATTTTTTTTACAAGGTGAAGAGAAATAATTACAGATGAGAGAAGACATAATAATAGCACTCCTTAAGTCTTCAAATCAGAGAGGTGCCCCTCAGGAAAAAGTAGCTGTTGCTCTACAAGCTAATGAGCTTGTGAATAATTTGGTGAAGTTCTAGTGATCATACTGTGCAGTTTGTCAAGCCTCATAGATATTTAACTTAAAGCTCATAGGAATAAACTGGATGATCTTCATTAGTTGATGCCAAATGTGATTGATTAATTTAGAGACCATTAATCTTATTGTAAATATGGAAGGTTAAGCAGAAGAAATTGAAAGATTACAGCTGAATTTAAACTGAAAAAAGTGCATGTGCTGAATATTTTACGTTTGCAGAATCTTCAGCTGCTTGGAGCAACAGCAATTGAAGATAAACTACAAGACAAAGTGCCTGAAACCATAGAGACACTCATGAAAGCAGACATAAAAATTTGGATACTTACTGGGGACAAGCAAGAGACTGCCATTAATATCGGTATTATGTTTGCATTTTTTTGTTGGTTTTGTTACAGATCTAGAAGTTATAGAAATTGCTAAAGTAAAATTGCTTTCAGAACAGAACGATGTCTTGTTAAAAAATAGTATTATATTGCGTTCCAGAATTTAAGTGTTAACTCATTTTTTAGTTACTAGAGGGAGAGTGAGGAAATGGTGAATTCTTCTGTTAACAGTAACAGCAAGAAAAATTTGTTATCACAGAATGGTAGGGGTTGGAAGGGACCTCTGAAGATCACTGAGTCCAACCCCCTTGCCAAAGCAGGTTCACCTAGAGAAGGTTGCAGAGGAATGCATCCAGGTGGGTTTTGAAAGTCTCCAGAGGAGACTCCACAACCTGTCTGGGCAGCCTGTTCCAGTGCTCTGTCACCCTCACAGTAAAGAAGTTTTTCCTGATGTTTAGTGGAACTTCCTGTGTTCCCGTTTGTGCTCATTTCCCCTTGCCCTATAACTGGGCACCACTGAGAAGGAAGTGGCTCCATCCTCTTAACCCCCACTCTTTAGATATTGATAAGCATTGATAAGATGCCCGCTCAGCCTTCTCTTCTCCAGGCTAAACAGACCCAAGTCCCTCAGCCTCTCCTTGTAAGAGAGATGTTCCAGTCCTGTAATTTTCATTGTGGCCCTCCATTGGACTTACTCCAATGTCTCCTGAACTGGGGAGCCCAGAACTAGACACAGTGCTCCAGATGTAGCCTCACCAGTGCAGAGCAGAGGAGGAGGAGAGAGGAGGTGAAAAATAAAAGCATTTTTTGTAGCATCTAAAATGAGTTAAAAAGAATACATTGGTTTTGGTTTTGAGAACCAAAGTGAGAGGGAATAATATTAAGAAAATAATATTATGAAAATGTAAGTATTCTCAGTTTCCTTTCTGTATTTTTGCCTCCTTTCCAAGAAAGCTGGTAGGGACCATAATCTTAACTAAAGCAAGTGCCGGGGTTTGGGGTCAGGGCAGCCCCCAGACAGATGCGATATAGATTCTGCATTAAAGAACTATAAACTTTACTGTCTATCAGAGGCTTCCTTTTATTCTTTCCTTTTGTAATAAAGATGGGGGAAAAAAAATGAATTAACTAATTTAAACAGCAATAAATCTGTGTTTTTAAGTAGTAATCCATGAAAGCTGCATTTAAAATTTAATGTTCTTTGCATGTGCGCATATCAGCACTTCTGCAGTAGCCTAGATACGTGACCAAAATAAATCATCATTTTGTAATGTTATAGTAATAAATATAGTATAACAGTAATAAATATATAATAAAATAATAATATACTAAAAAATAATTGTAGTCATCAATATAGTAATAAAAGTACCCATATGAGAAAAATACATCATTACTTTAAATAATGCTTTAAATTATTATTTTTAATCTTAAAGAACTTTTTATATGCACATGATACAGTTGATCTAAGGTTATTTTCATTAGTACCTTTAGGTTTGAGGCAACACACTTAACCCTAGTATTGTCACTTTACTAGGAATGGTGATATATGTATATTTGTCTTGGCAGACTACGTCATTAGTAACAGCATACTTTAAAGCATCAAAGAATAAAAGAAAAGAATGGGAACATATGTACATGCAAATTCTGTATGAAATACACATTGCATTCCAAACATTTGCATGGCTAAGGGACATCTGTTCACTGTTTTCTCTAACTCCTTTTGAAGATGTTTCTTGTCCTTCTGCTGAGCATCTCTGAACAAGGCACAACAGTCACAAGTTGCAATAAGGAGAATTCTGTTCCTTTCTGACTTAGTCCCTGTATGTCTAATTTTTATAGAATGCAGTATAATTTTTTTTTACTATTGATTTCAGCTGGGGGAGTCTTATTTTTATAGTCCTCTTACAGGAAAAAAAAAAAAAAAAAAGTTTTGTTATATTGTAATGGATCTCGTGGAACAAATTTTTGAAAACAAAATTGTTTTTAACAGGTCACTCCTGTAAACTTCTGAGAAAGAATATGGGACTTATCGTTATAAATGAAGGCTCTCTTGATGTAAGTAAAACTTGAAAAGTTTTTAGTTAATGACACATTATTTTACTGCTTAAAATATCCAGATGACATGGTGAAGGTGGCCTGAAGAACAATTTAGAGCTTCTGTTTTTCTGGACAAACACAGAAAATTCTGCTACAGTCACTGTCTGGTAGGGGACAGGGGATTGTTCCTCTTTGGTTTAGGGGATTGCTTCTTTTCTTTGTTTTTATAATCTTATCAGTTAATTGTAGCATTGCATACCTGGAAGACTGTATGGTCTTTCTGACAAAATGTTACTGAATAACTAGAAACAGTCTACAGCTTTCCAAAGCACAGTGTAGCTACCACACAAAGGAACTTCAGAATGATGAGCAGATAAATTCCATGTCATGAAATGACTCCATCCATGCAGGCATGAAACCAGGAGCTTCACATGCCTCTGGTAGAACCCAGCAGTGCCCAATCAAACTAATCCAAAGTTTCTTTCTAATGCTTTTTTTTGTACAGAATATTTAATATCTGCCAAAAACTGTTATTGTGTTGTTGAACAGCTGAAATTGTAATTACATGTTGAATTAAAAATTTAATATACAGTGCCTTGTAGAAAAGAGATTCTTTAAGTAAGGTAGAAATTAAATATTAAGTGAAAAATCCCATGAAGAGGGGAAAAAAAAAAAAAAGTCCTGTTGTCACCCTTTAAGGGAGCCTTAAATGAACATAGAAGTGTAAGAATTTCCTCATTGAGGAAAACTCACTCTCCAGAAGCTTCAGGAGAAACCCTGAAATGAAGTTTCCTAACTTTTACTTTGTGGTCAGGTTGCTCAACACAGGACTTGAGAAGAGAAAGGGAGAGAAAAGTGAAAGTATGAGAATCAGCAAGAGGGAATAGTACTTTAGCCGAAGGAATCAATGGTACCCTCTAAGAGTAGGTTATAACATGAATTAAAATACTTAATATTTTTTTTAAAAAAATAAGTACTTTTAAAAAAATGTTTTAATCAGAGTAACACACTTTCAACATTAGTATGAATTTAATCATGATGATAATATTTCAAATATAAATTGTTTTAAGCAACATTTTTTTGATGATAAAATTTCAAATAAAATCCCAACACAGAGCAGGCAGAAGCTGTTGAACCAGTCTGTTGATACAGTAAGCAACTTCTTACCCAACTTCTGACCTTCCTAATGAAGAGAAACAATTTCCTTTTCATAGTTTAGTTCACTGGATAGCTTTAGAAAGATTGTGATCATTGTTTGCTGAAAAAAGAGGGAAGGCTTTCAAGCCCTTAACTTTGTTTCCGAGTTGCCCTCATCATGAGATGTAACTGGTTTCCAAATTCAGTATTTCATAAGCAGAAGTTCTGTTTTCATCTTTCTTTCTCCTCTAAAATTCTTCTTTCTTCTGGCCGCAAAGCAGGAAACAATAGAAGAGTCTGTTGTAGTTCTGTGAAACCCATTCAAAAAACAAAGAAATGCAACAAGCAGTTTTTTTCTTCTTCATGAAAATATATGGTAGAACTGTACTGTAACTAGGTATTTGTGACCTCTCCAAAGCAGGCTATGAAGTCCTGCTGCAAAAATACAGATGACTGTATTCTCTAGTAAATATAATCTGGAATTCTCAGTACTAGATGACAGAATAGTGACTTGTGTAAATGTGATTAAAACTATCCTTAGAAAGTCAAAATAAAAAATATGATCTCTTATATAACATATAGTTGTTGTGGTCTTATCTTAAAATAACTCTAGCAGTAATACTAGATTTGTATCAGTTATAACACATGTACTTATTGTCTAATGTTTATTTTACGTTTTTTCCTCAACTTTTAGGACCATTTTACATAACAGTGAAAAGAAATTGTTTCTTCTGGTATCTATATATGTATGAATTTTCTTTCGCATAGCTACGCAGAAAAATTATAGATTTTAGCAAACATTTATGCAACTGTTAATCATTTGAAAAGCATTAGAAGTTTCATCATAACTTCTTTTTTTTCTTTTTGCACAATGTGAGAGCAATCCTACACACTGTTTCTGCTGCGATTTCTAGTAGTATACCTGATGCAAATACTTTTTCCATTTTATACTGTCTATTTGATAGCATAATCAGAAGGTAATTTCCTCTAAAAGGGAAATGTTAGTGTTTCTGATGACAGCAAAAAAAAATTTTTACTTGAGTAGTAGGCGTTGAAAATAATGGACACAATATACTTTTTTTGTACAATAGGGAACAAGAGAGACACTTAGCCATCATTGCAGTACACTTGGTGATGCTTTAAGGAAGGAGAATGATTTTGCTCTCATCATTGATGGTAAATCTCTGAAGTATGCTTTGACATTTGGAGTGAGACAGTATTTTCTGGATTTGGCTTTGTCATGTAAAGCTGTTATTTGTTGCAGGTAAGTTTACATTATTCTCACTATAGTATTTTTTTTGGCATATGAATAGTAATAAACCTATTTTATTTCAGAGAAAATACATACGTCCATGTTATCTAAACATGAAATATTTTTATAAAAAACCCAAACTTTAGGAACTGAACTTAAGAAATAGTCATTTAAGCAGAATATTCTGTAGAGCAGTCTGCTAAAGAATGTACATGTCAAACAAAGTAGTACAGATTGCATATACCTAGACAAATAATTTGTTATCTGTCAAGGACAGTCTCGGCAAGACTGGGACACTGATCTTAACCTTCAGTTGGTACTGCTGTTAACTGCAGGTTTTAGCCCATCTGCATTCTTTGTAGAGCTTCATCCACAGGCAGGATTTTATATCTGATTTTTCTGTAAGCCATGGATTAGATTGCATAAGAAGTGCACAAAAATGTTAAAAGTTACTACTCTGCATTATTTTTACTTCCTAAAGCTGATGAAAACACCTTTTTTATTATTGTTATTACTCAGGATTATTTTAGGGTTCTTTTGTACAATCTGATGTTTAATCCTTTCCTGTAAACATCAGCTATTAGAGCTGTAAGCTTACCATAACAAGAGAACTTTCTCCAGCACAAAGAAAATTAAATACCTTCATTCTTTAAATATATAAAATATGAAAGCAGTTTGGCTTGCCTCTTAATATTTCTAGATTTATAGTAAAAAGGAAAAACATGGGACCATGCAAGTGATAACATACATGATTTGGGACCTTCTTGCATTTTTATGGCTTCAAGCACAAAAAACTGGAAGCATCTCCTGAGCAGTACCATCACCTCTTCTACAACTGAATGGCTGAACAAAAAGGGCAGTTGGGTGCTGGTAGCTAGATAAACAAGAACTGCTCCTGTTGATGTTGAAGGATTTGGTTTAGGCCAAAAGGTTAATTTGTCAAAAGCAAAAGTGAGGACTTTTCTTCACAAGATCATTTGCAGCACAAGTAGGATATTGGTATTGGAACATTCCAGAACTATGGAAATCATTGTTATTTTCATCAGTGTCTGAGGTAGCTATTACCAAGGATAGCCAGGTAATGTTCTCAAGAGTATTTTTCACAATTTTGACCTTTGTAGTGGTGTAGAAAAAGCTATTTCCTATAATAGAACAGGAAAAGTTAACCTGGGAACAAAGTGTTCAAGCTCTTCTAGAGTCCCTGTGACTTGCTTTTTCTCAATACACAAGTGTCACAAACTCCAATTCTCACAAGTAATGTAGTACTGAAATTTTTAGAGTTGTCTGTGTATTCAAGTTACGTCTAATTCCATATTTAAATAGGATGCTATGTCTGACTAGAATTGCTTTAGAAAAAGAATCTGTGGAAAAAGCCAGCTTGGATTTTGTACAACAACAAAATAAGTCTCAGAATTCAGCCTCACTTACTACCAAATTCAAGTCTTCTTTCAATAAATTACATAAGCTTACTGCCTACTGCCTCATTATTGCCCATCCTATTAACTACCTGAAGATAGAGACATGGTGGGCACAAATGTGAAAACTTTTGTAAATACACCTTCATAGACTGCCTACTTTTGATTAATAAGGTAACTAAGAGGAAGATTCTTGTGTTTAGGTAGAGTTTAGTAATGTCCACTAAGGTCTTAGCTGAACAGTGTGCTGAGCCATCTTACCTATACTGGTTTTCTCAGGAAGAAGGGTTGGACCAGGTGATCGTTGAGGTCCCTTCCAGCCTGGTGTTTTATAATTCTGTGATAAAGCAGATTCGTCTGAAGAATCAGTGTTTAAAGTGGACCTATTTTTCTGCCTCACAAAAAGACAGGGAAAAGCAAACTGTGACTAGTGGAGTCCCTCAGGG